CCCCCCCCTCCCCTCCCCCCTGCTTCCCCTCCTTATACTGATGGATAAATTGTTGTGGTCGTGCCGCGGTGATGCCGGAGTTTTGCGCTAATTTAAATGCTGTGGTTGTTGATCCTGACAGGTGGGACGGAGGAAAGGTTGTTTGAGACAGTGGCGAAGCGATCCCGAGCGGAGATAGAGTCAGGACTACAAGGTGTGTATGCGAAGATCGGCACCCCCGAGGCAGCCACCATTTTTATCCGAGATGACAGGTTTGTGGATGTGCTCCCGAAGGACCTAATCCTTTCCCGAGGAGGCGTTGTGTTTGCTAAGAGAGGAGAGAAGACACAGTTCTATGACGGACCTTGGAAGTGGAGGTCTCTTCATCGGTGGGTTCATGATACTCAGTTTAATCCCGTTGAGAGGATAACTCGGGGAAACTTTGACACGTTCCGTAAACGCAAGCTTCCATTCGTCTACACCCTCCTGGATGAGAAATCGGAGGCTGACGTGGATGCTCTTGTCTCAATGATCAGAGACGTGGCCCTGAACTACTCTGGGCAGTTCAGTTTTGTCTATACGCCTATTGACGAGGCAGGGGACCTTCTTGACCATCTTCGCTGCCAGTATCGAGGTGCAAGTTATGCTGTGTTGGAAGATTTTGAGGACGACTACAGATACTGTGTTGAGACTAATCCTATGGAGAAGTTGACGGTATCCCGACTGCGAAAGCTCTGCGATGGATTCTTATCTCGAACTGCAACTCCCGACCATGTGGTGTCAGAACCCGTTCCAATCGCCAACGTCGGTCCAGTCTTCAAAGTCGTCGGCAAAACTCTAATGTCCACAGTAATGGATGTGACTAAGGACGTCCTAATCCATTTCTATGCTGAGTTTGACGAGAAATGGGAGGATGTCGAAGGGGAGTTAGAGAAAGTTGCAGTGGAGTTTGAACATGTGCCCACTTTCAAGGTTGCCAAGATGGAAGGAATGAAAAACGAGCGACCCAAGGACTTCCCAGATCTGGGCTACATTCCCTGTACCTGGCTCTTTCCTGCCAAATCCAAGAACACACCAGTGGTCTTCAATCAAACATGGTCGTTCGAGTTACGCATACTCTCTCAGTTCGTCTGCAACTTTTCCAGCTTACCCATAGAAACGATACCTTGCAAATCAGAAACCCATAAAAAGAAGAAAACTAACGAAAGTCAGAATGGTACTTTTGAGATTGCCAATCAAAAGAGGATAACAAGGACTACTTCCTCCTCCTCATTGTCATCGTCATCATTATCATCATCATTATCGTCCTCATCGTCCTCATCCGGTTATCCCCTCTCATCCTCCTCCGTGACACTTTCTGAAGCTTGTCCGTCAAGTCAGACCGCGTCACAACCATTGACGCCATCCAGCCCTGCGGACGACCGCCAGACACACCTCAGACGGGAGCATGCATGAGATCGCTCGTTGGGGAAGTGCAGTCCACGTCCTCGAATGCAACTAAATGCCAACCAACATGGGGCAGCAATAACAGTTGTTATCAGTGTAACGCCTCGGAGGCTGCGGATATGAATGTGACTGGAGTGATCAAAGAAACTTCACAAACCGATAATGGATGTGTTGATCGGACTGTTGGAAGTTGCCCTCTGAACGCATCTGGCACGAAGATGTGATTAGATGTCCCCTACATAATCCCACATGATAAACGTTCTAAGGGACACTCCCTTGTTCTCCTCCCCCAAAAACAGAAATAAGGATTTACATTTTTTGTATTTTATGAGCTTCGAGGTTCGGGGTCCTGCTTTTGGAGGTGATAAGNCGGATATGAATGTGACTGGAGTGATCAAAGAAACTTCACAAACTGATAATGGATGTGTTGATCGGACTGTTGGAAGTTGCCCTCTGAACGCATCTGACACGAAGATGTGATCAGATTCATGTCCCCTACATAATCCCACATGATAAACGTTCTAAGGGACACCGCCTTGTTCTCCTCCCCCAAAAACAGAAATAAGGATTTACATTTTTTGTATTTTATGAGCTTCGAGGTTCGGGGTCCTGCTTTTGGAGGTGATAAGAGCATCCCCCAGAAATGGGGCCTGGTCTGAAGGCTCCATCTATTGGTGGGGAGCCTTGTTATCTGCTGGAAAATGGGTCGATCATCCCACGTGTTACATCACAGTTCACCTCATAGTTAGTCTCAGACATAGTAGCCTTCTTATCCCTCATGAGAGGGTAACCTACTCTACTCAGCCACGTGGTAAAACTTACCAGAGTGCAAAGTCACAGTCTAAGTCAGTCAATTTTCTCTTTTTTTTTTTGCCGTGCCTGCCTTGATCCTTTATCCTGGTTGCTGCAGGACTCCTCTTTGGCCATTCTGAATCCTTGAGAGCTGGGGCTGGGAGATCCTTGCTTGGCCGACGATCAGGGAAGTAGAGGTGGTGTTTGAAGGTAGGAGGGTATGAAGGTAAGAGGAGGGGGGACAAGAAGAATCTGTCTGAAGAGTGGGTGCGGGTGGGCGAAGGCAGGTAAGAGAGCAGGGTATTTGTGGACATGGGGTACGCACGTGCTCGTGGGGGGAGCTGGAGAGGGTATGCAGGGAGGTGGGGGTCGGTAGGGGGAGGCAGGGATGTCATGGGAAGGATGCGAGATTGCCGCATGAAGGAGGAGGGAATTTGTTAGTTGGAAGGGTACTGAGTAGTGCTCCATAGGTTGTCTCTTCCATTGTTGCTCTAATGTCTGCCACAGTTTCCAGATAATGTTGTTTTTTGGGCCCAATTGCTGGGTCCACCCATATTGATTGTTCGCAAAGCATTCATCAAAATCTGCAGTAGTCACCGGATCAGTTTTGTGAACTTTTGTCTTAAGATCTGCTTCAAGGTCAGCCAAGCTTCATGGATTCTGCTTCTTACTATTGTGTCCAAAAGAACTGCCTTCGCTTGTAATAACTGAAAGTGTGTTGTTTCCATCGGAGCAAGCATCTAGCTTACTATGCTGTCATCAAGACAGTGAGCCCGGTGTATCTGAATGGGTTTAGAGTTGACGAATCCCATAATTGCCTTGAGTATCCTGTGTGGTGTCCCAAGAGAAGGGATTTCGTGTTTCATGGGAGATGTGCTCCTTGTGAGATAATGCCACGCAGAGTCCCACCATCTCCATATTTGGGCAGCCATTAGGCTGTCTAGTAGACGGTGTTCCATTACAGCATCATGCGGTTTTGCGTGGATCCGCCACAGCAAGAACATACGGGAGACTGTAGGCAGGCATCTGTAACTGATCTGCCATTGAAGTGCTCCGTTACTGGTGCCCGGCTGATAGTCCACCTGGAGGAGTTTGTCAAAATCAGATTGCTGAAGCAGGGAATCCCGTTCACAACTTTTTTCAGTTATATGTGCTATGTTGACGGGCTTTTGTGCGGCTCTATATCCATTTGTCACCGTGTACTGCCGTAGAAAGGTACTAAGATCTATTGACCACTCCCACTCTCATTCCTAAGCATCAAAAGGAAGCTTACAAATGGGAGTGCTTGGCTCACAGAGGAATTTTCATTCTCCATGACCCTGACTCTAATTAGTTGTGACCACTCTGTGGGGTAGAAAGTCATCATTTCTAACTATCTTTGATCTCTGCCACTTGGCAAGGCTGACACATAGGCCTGGAGATGTGCCGCCTCGGCAGTGATGTGACTTACCTGATACACAACCACTGGGAGCGGCATTTCCTGCAGCGGTGTGAGGAAATCCGGGGAGGGTGAAGACTGTTGACTGCTGAAGCACGCGGCAACAGCGTCTGTCACCCACTGTGCCTGCTTCAGGGGTCCTAAGCCGTGCAACAGGAAGTGGTTTTTGGTTTGCCTGTCACACCCCCACTTAAAGACTGAGCCTGAAGGCTCGTAACACGCAGTTCGTGAAAAGTAGACAAGTTGTGAAAACTAGACCTGCTTCAAGAACTTTACGAGCAATTTTTGGAAAACTGGTTTTGAAAGTTTTCGCACAAGACATGAATTGGCCACTGTCACAGAAATGTCAGCAAAAACTGCAGAAAAACATAAACATGTTATTGCCAATATTTCAAGGCTTCGTTTTTTTTTTTGTGTACAGGAGTAACTATTTTCTGACAAGTCTTATCATGACTCTTATCCACGAGTATATGGCATAGTCCTTTTGGTATCGACAAATGCAAGAAATGTAAGCTCATTACTATGTGGAGAAATGAGCCTCTACGAAAAGCTAGGGGAATCAGGACAGGACTCGTCCAGGGGCGGGTGGAATTTCCTGCCGCGTCAGGGGTGGGCCTAGTATGCCACCACATGGCCCGTAAGACGCCCTGTCCCGGGCCTCCAAAATTCTAAGGGAGGCTCAACCGGATTCTCAACTTGGCTGGGGTCATGTACTGGTGGTCTAAACCATATGCTTAGCAAGGGCAAAAGAGACGAGCAAATATATCAGTAACCAATCCTCGAGCTTCGGCTTCATATTGCAATGCAGCGAAGTGTGGCAGAGCGCGGCCCATTTTACAGGAAGACTCGGAAGAGGTGCAAAAAAAAGAAAAAAGACAAATAAAAATGAGAAATAATTTTCTCTAGCAAATAGAGTGTATTTCTTAACATGTCTAAAGGAGCACTAGCAAAAAATGCAATGACAGTTATCGTGATTCCTATGTTCATTTTGCAAAGGCCACAGGTCCTGCCAACAAGGAAGGGGTAGCACACCACATTCCAGCCCACCACCGAAAGGACCAAGGGAGCCCATACAAGGCAATGCAGGACCGCCAAAAGGCGGGGAGGAACGAGCCGCAAGGATGAGGCAGAAGTGTTGGGGAGATGGCGGTGACAGCGGACATGGCAGCGGCGGGGAAGATGGCTGCGACAGTGGACATGGCAGCGGTGAGGAAGATGGGCAACAAAGGGGAAATTGGTGGCAACAACGGGGAAGATGGAGTTGTCGATGCCATCTCTGCGAACCTCAATCTCCCCCTGCTACCATCTTCCCTGCCGCCATCTCTATCTCCCACGCCGCCATCCTCCCTCAATGCCTTCATCTTCCCCGCTGCGGCCATTTCCCCCCCGCCATCACCTGTAGCGTTTGCCGCTTCCCGCCCTCCTCGGAGTCCGTATCCCGCCCTCCGCCATTGCCCTCCACTGCATCCCGCCGTGCGCCGCTTCCCGCTGTATGCCGCTTCCCACCGTGGCCCGTATCCCGCCCTCTGACCCCCCCCCTCCGCCCTCTGCCATCCTCCACCATCGCCCGTCGCCCTGCGCCATTATGACAATCGATCGGAATACATCATCGCGTCACGCTGGTGGAAAAAGAAAAGAAAAAAAAACCTCCAAAAAATCTGAAAACAATATATGTTCTGCAGCATCTCAATATAATCATCATCGCCTGAGCACCATCTCGAAATTCTCATATCTTGGGAAAAGAATAGAAAACGAAAAACACGACACGGAGTTTGAGGGTGCTTCATCTATTAGTGGGGAGCATCACCTGCTGGAAAACGGGTCCAGCGTTAAAAAAAAAAAAAGAGTTTGAGGTTGTTTTCCCCCCCCTCCCGGTTGTTTGTTATTCGATTTTTTTTCCTCCCCGAAGATTTGAATAAGAACTTCGGGATGGCACTCGGGGGAACATTGCTTGAATTGAGATGCTGCACAACATATAGTTTTTTCAGATTTTTTGGAGTTTTTTTTACTTTTTTTTTTGTGTTTTTTTTTTGCCTCTGCAAAAATAGAATCATTCAAGTTTACGTAATTGATTCTATTTGGCATACTGATGGATGTCCCCTAAAGTATCCGAATATAGTTTGTTCAACTTTGTTGTATGTTTTTTCAGTTATGCTGATGGTATCCTCCAAAATTTTTAAATAACTCCTTTGGTCTTGATGGTCGTTCTCCTGTCCTTCTACATTTTGCTGGAAACGTGTTTTTGGTATCTTGGGATGACACACAAATCTTAGGTCTGCCTGCATTTTCCTGGAAACCTGTTTTCTGTTATGCTGTTGTTACAAGTAATACAAATGAATCTTATGCCTAATTGCATTATCCTGAAATCTGGTTTCAAGGAAAAGGGCCGCACAATGTCTCAAAACTTTTCACGAACTGCATGTTTCGTATGACCGGACTCAGATTACTAAAAAAAAAAAAAACTCAGTCCAACAGAACTGAGATCTGAACCAGGACCTAACTCACTCTAGGTCTTCCCTGTGAGATCTCAGTGCTGCAGGGCCAAATTCAAGATTTGCTTCATGCCGAAAATGAACTGGAAATCTATCAACGCAGCGAGGAGAATTGAGCAATTATTTATACCTGTGAGCAGTTCGGTAATCCTTTCCAAACAGAGGAGGTCAAACAGACGGTTCGACGTGGGCGGGGACAATGTTAATTAACCAAACCCTATCCGCAATTCGCTCGAACCAGAACCCTGGTCGCAGACTTCCTTGCTCCTTATTCAAACTCTGCCTTCGTTTCTCAACCTTTCAGTTCCTAGCCCAAAAGTCAACTCTTTCATCTTATGCCTGAGGCAGAACAGAGAGGCGACTTTGCCCATCCCAGGAGTATGCTGGTGGCCAATAAAAGTTAACAGGGCGAAGAGAACCTCGAGGTAGAAGAACATCCTTTACCCCAGTGGAAACAGGGACACTTTTTTTTTTGTTTTTTTTTTGGGAATTTTTTTGAAATGCCCCTGAAGTTTGCGTTTATTTGCGATTTGCCCCTCCGACGGCCGACTTACCCTGATTTGCCCCTCCGACAACGGTTCAAGTTTCCAAAAAAACCCTGGCGTCAACTGGGCCTGAAATATGTTCAATATGCCCCTACCGGTACCAGTGCCAAATTTCCAGTATGCCCCTACCGGAGAGCTGCTGGGTACCAGTGCCAGATTTCGATGCTACGTCAAGCCTACTCCTACCTTCTATAATGGTATGTTCATGGCTGTACATTACCCGCCTACCTCCACATCTTTCTCTCTCTCTCACACACACACACACACACACACACACACACACACACAGAGAGAGAGAGAGAGAGAGAGAGAGAGAGAGAGAGAGAGAGAGAGANAGAGAGAGAGAGAGAGAGAGAGAGAGAGAGAGAGAGAGAGAGAGAGAGAGAGAGAGAGAGAGAGAGAGGCGTGGAAGAAGGGGAGGAACATTCACCTTCGGCAACGTTCTCCGAGGACGTCGAAGGCGGCGGCAGGTCGCAGTACCAGAAGAATGAACTCCGCGGTGAATTGAAGTAGTGGACACAACGTGGAGTGGAGCCCTGTTTTTTTGCGCGGGGCTCCACTCCACGTTGTGTCCACTACTTCAATTCACCGCGGAGTTCATTCTTCTGGTACTGTGACCTGCCGCCGCCTTCGACGTCCTCGGAGAACGTTGCCGAAGGTGAATGTTCCTCCCCTTCTTCCACGCCTCTCTCTCTCTCTCTCTCTCTCTCTCTCTCTCTCTCTCTCTCTCTGTGTGTGTGTGTGTGTGTGTGAGAGAGAGAGAAAGATGTGGAGGTAGGCGGGTAATGTACAGCCGTGAACATACCATTATAAAAAGATTCTGACATAGCTGGCACCATGGGAGCAGTAACCCCCTTTGTTCAAGGTTTGTACGGTCCGTTAGCCAATCATTGGTTGGCAGACAGCGGTGAGCTATTTGCCACTGTAGAGAGGTTATTTTCATAGGCTTAGATTTTTGTTCCTTAAACCATTTGATCGGAGAAAGGAGGGTATGGTCCACGTTCAAGTGCCTAGCCCATCTGTCGTTAATCATGTCTTTCAAGTGTCTTTTGGTTTTGAGCATCTTGTGGGCAGATTTGACCAATATCTGACACAGGCTAGTATCATGGCCTCTTCCAGTGACTCCTCTCTTTTGAGGATGTTGCCAAGTCCAGTCTACTGGGTCAAAAGGCAAATCTTGAATTGGTCTTTCTGTCTGGAACGCAACCCTTCGGCCCGTCTCTTCTAGAACCCTTACCCTTTGTAATGTTGTTTAAAATGGGTACCGCTGGAAACCAAGCTGAAGTCGTTTGCCGCTGGACCACCATTGCAGTCCAGACGCTGGTGGGAAAATTTGGTAGCACTGACAGGATTGTTTCCCGCTGATCCTGCCGTGCGGGAAATCGTGAGAATACCAACGGACTTAGCTCAGTTGGTACACCTATAAATATGTTGAAATGCAGACCAGAGTGCAAATCCAGATGGAACCAGATGACCTGGGGCCAGTCAGTTATATGATCATATCTCAAGGATGTCCTCAATTATATGAGGGGGAAAAAGAAAAAGAGCGAGTTTTTCAATACCAATTTCATTATAACAATAATTTCAGGGACCTCACAGTTCAACCCAGATGACGAACTGAGCTTGACAGTTGCTGTGAATTGTCGTTGTCGGTGCTTGACGACATTCGTGCGTCGTGCAGAGTAGCCACCGACCCACCGTGATCTCTTTCTCTCTCTCTCTCTCTCTCTCTCTCTCTCTCTCTCTCTCTCTCTCTCTCTCTCTCTCTCTCCCTCTCTCTCTCTCTCTCTCTCATTGTGAATATGAAGTTTCCTCCTCCTCCTCCTCCTCCTCCTCTCTCTCTCTCTCTCTCTCATTGTGCATATGAAGCTTCCTCTCTCTCTCTGTGATACATGCTCAGTCGAGAAATGTATATGCCATATGGAGCCAACTCAGCAAGGGATCCGCAAAGTGATGAAAAGGACTCATATGGACAATGTAGCATGGCTGTGCCGGCAACCGGCCGGTTGGACCGGCCCGGATCCAACCGGGCCGGTTGGACCCCCGGTGGTCCAACCGGAATTCCGGTTGGGTCCAAAAGTGGGTCAAAAATATATATATATATATATTTTTTGAAAACATGGTTGGACTGCGCTCACCGAGATCTCTGTGAATCCGCAAAGAAAACTTTGAACAGAGAAGTTTCGTTTGGGGGGTTGGGGGGTT